CTGAAACACAGTCGAACGGGGCATGGCACCGCTCCTGCACATAGCAGGGACATCAGCATTCGCTGCTTTTTAAGAACTAAACTGTTTTCTTCCAAATTAAACCCAGATGTGCCCTGTTTGTGGAGCTCCTTGTTACAACCAGTCCCACCGCCGGGATTCCAGATGAAGCCTCCTGCCTCTTTGCCGGCACTGCCGAGGAGCACCGGGCTGCAACCATGCCCTGGGGCAGGGGTCCTGCTTCGCCTCACAAGGAAAACACCAAAATCCTTTCTAATACTGGTCTAGCATACTTTTAAGAACTAATTTGGATAGTGGTATTTAGCAAACACCTGTAATAACAGCAATTAAAAAAGCCTACAAGTGGAGAGGATGGCTACGCCTAGGTGTTAAAGTGAAAGCTGCTCTGCGCATGATGGCGGTGCACGAAACACCTCCTCTCCCTTTTCCTGGAAAAAGCTGAAAGCAAAAACCTGAGTGCATTTCTTCAAACTCTGGTTTTCCCTGCAGGCCAGAGGGGACTTCTCCCACCGGCATTGCTGGGAGGGACAGGACAGGACAGGAGCGCTGGGACCAAAGTGCAGCCACGCCGAGCATCACCAGGTACGCAGAGCAACGCCCGGTTACATCTCATCACCTGCCAACCTGATGAGTACCCAAGAACGATGCCCTGGTTGGGGAGCTTTCCTGCGCTCGATATTTCTTTCACTCCCAAATGCCCCCAACTCCCGGCTGCCGTGGCCACCCTTTCATCTCCCACCACAAATTTCATGAAGGCAGGTAGCTACACATCACATCCCAAGCGGCTTACAAGTACCCAGGCAACGCTGAAGCTCTCTGTGAGCCAAAACTCTCGCTCACCTGGGGGTTTTTCCCAGGGGAGAAAAAAAAAGGCAGGAGCTTGCGTTTCAGCTTTGGCATTCAACATTCTGCCCGCTCTGCAGTCATGGATCTGTAAAAGGCACTCACAGACACCTGGGAGAGCAAGGGCAATGCCCTAAAATCACATTTGAGACTGGTTTCTGCACTGAGCAGTGTTTAAAATGACCTATCCTTGTGGGAGAGCTATGAGAGTAAGGGCGGAGCGCGTGGTCCCTGTATGAACAACTTTTTCCAGGTCTCAGCAAACCTGCTGGGAGTAGGGCAGAGTGCAACCAGAAAATGTATTAAATGTATTTTATTCCTGTCAATTAGAGGAATATAATAAGAAAGAAAACACTAAGCTATCACCGCCGCTTGCAAAGGAAAACAGGGACAAAGAATATATTGATTAACCCTCGCTAAATACGCAGGTGTATTTAGGTGTGTATTTAGGGAGTAAAAGTGAAGCGCACACGATTAAGAGTATTTCTTAGCAACCATCACAGCAGGCTATTCAAAGTACATGCATACTGGCGTCGCATGGAAAGCCAAAGCCTGGATTCCACTAAACTGGGTGAAATCGCTGCTCCTAAGATCAAAATCCAGCCTACAGCTCCTAACCGTTCCCACGGGGAGTGTGCATTCGTGGTATTGAACAGCCTTGCCCTGTTCTCAACCGTGCAAAAAGTAATCCCATGATTGAATATCCAATGCGCCCATCAGAAAGAGGAACACCGAGCTACATCATACTCTTCCCATGCATGGGATGGCTGGAGAAGGCTTTCCACCCAGACCACACCACTTCCAATTAAGCCGCATCCCCAGAGCGGCACTTTGTGCTCAGCCCCCACTGCAGACCCCTGACTCATAGGCGTGCCAGCAAGAAGGGGCCTCTGCAATGGGACTCGCCGGGTATTTTATCCCCTCTGAAACACATTTAGAAAATCCCAGTTTTTTCCAAGAGCTCCCCAACAAATGTCAGCTGTGACGACCTCTGAGCAGCTGTCTGCTGCCGGCAAGGACAGCAGACTTCACTGCTGCTTTTCATAGAGAAATCCTTTAAAATAGATTCATTTTCTATTTCTGTTGGTACTTTTATGCACAGACATGCCAACAGATGTTCCCTACCCATCCCTCCGCAACCATGCTGTGGCTCCCTGACCCACCCCAGGCACGGGAGCCTAGCGCGAGCAGGGGGATCCGAGCAGCAGCAAAACCCATCCACGCTGCAAGTCAGAGCGATGCCTGTCTTCATACCAAGGATGCATGAGATGAAGCGGGGACTGTGCCCACGGTGCCCTCCCCGGGCAACAGCGAGCCAAACCCAGCGAGACAGCCATCAAACCCAGGGTGACCGCTTCAGTCTGAGGTCCAGCTCCCGCGGGGAGGTACAGAGCCGTTGGCAAAATGAGATCCGGCAGCACAGCGAGCGGCCACCCCCTCCATCCCTCCAGGGGACACAGATGGCATTTTGCCCAACCTCAGTGCCTGCCTTTGAGTCATCTGGAGGAGGACCCCCAAAAAGGCATGTCCCCCTGCCCAGGCTTTAAGCAAGAAACCATGCACTGCTGGAGCTCTGGCTTCTCCCCTCCCCATCAAGGCAATCAGCACCTAAATAAGCCCTTGGCTTACCAACATTTTAAGGACAAGGGGGAAATAGAGGGGAAAGTCTTTTTTTTTTCTTCTTTTTTTGCTTGTTTTGATCATTTTGAGGCACAAAATGCATAGAATATGGTTTCTCTCAGAACAAAGGGATAGCACTGAACAATGCAAACAATTTAGCATCAGGCCAAGTCCTCAGAATTAATAAAGTTTAGTGCTAACAGGTTCAAAGGCTATTCAAGGTATTACAGATACTACACACGGCCAGTTACTTTGAAAATATGCTATTAATATTATTGTCTAATATTAATATTATGTGAATTAACAGTAGCATGCAGGTGACATAAAAGGGTATAAGAAAAATTAGGGTAAAACTCACATCCGGGTGTGGAATAGCGTATTGTCCCTGAATTGTATAGGCCTGCAAAAGAAAAAACAGATGTTATTAGGGCTAGCAGGAGACGGTGGCAAAGCCCCGTGCCTCTGCAGGGACTGCCATCCCCGGGCTTTGCTCCTTTCTGCCTGATGTGGGGAAATTTCTGTGAATGTCGGGGCTAAAGAGGAGCTCAGCCGCCACCCTGCTCTGCCCAGGACCCTGTGCTACTGCCAAATAACCGAGCACGGGGACCTCAGTGCCATGACTCCGGCACGCCTCTCCCCTCTCTCTGCTGCTGGTGAAGGCAGAGTATGGGATCTTGAATTTTGACTTAGCTAGCTTAATTTTGAGGCTGGAGGGGATGAGGGAAGAGCTTTCCATGCAGCGAGCATTTGCCCAGCGCAGCCCCTTGGCTAACCCAGGGGAAGAGACCCCTGTGCTGCATTAAATTCCCTTGGGGCGGGAGGAAGATGTACCCCTCTGATGAAACCCGGAGCATGCTGAGCTACCTAACTTCAAGGGCTTGGGCTCAATTTGGCTTTTCCAAAAGGAAGGAAATACTTTAAAAGTGCCAGAATTGCATGGAGCAGGGATAGAAGGTTGTGATTGGGCTTCGCTGTACAAAAGATATGCATCAAACCAGAATTATCTGCGTAGTAGATGCATGGTAACATCACCACCGCCCTTCACACCTAAATGTGATCCTAGAAAGCAAGTCGGTGCAGTGAGTCTCTCCATATTTTCAGGTGCACAGCTCTTAACATGCTTTACATCTGCCCAGTATATTCTGGTGCTCTGCTGGAGGGAAAGGCATCGCTGTGCAGAAAGCCAGCTGGTGCTGATGTCCCACCAAGCACGGAGAGGGCTTAGGGACAGGCTGCCTGCACCGCAATGCTTTTCACCAGCTATAAATTACAAATCCATGCAAGATGTTCACCAGGTAACTTGTTTAGTGTTTTTTCCCATCATTTGTAGCAATCCTTTCTCTTTTGAATAACCTGAAAATAAGCACCGCTGTGGGTAGAACGCCAGACACTAGAGAGCCCAATATTTAGGACTTAACCAGCTAGCAAAACGTATCTCACTGGTTGACACATTATTCAGATGATTCTGAAAGAAATGGCAAAAGAGATGGATAACACTTTAAAAAGGGAGAGTAAAGCTAGCCAGGAAAAAAAAAAAAAAAAAAGAAATCTCTGATCCTCCTGCAAATTTGCCACATCGTTTGCAAACAGCGAAGTGCTTTGTGTGAGGAAACCTCCCAAAATCCAGGAGGAGAAAGGAGGCAAAGCCCTGCACACAAAAACAGCAGTCCCAGTGCCTGCCAGCATCCCAGCACGACGGGGACCGGTGTGTCCATGGGGATGTGGCAGAGGCTGTTCTAAAAAGTTGTCTTTCCTGAGGGTTTAATTTGGTCATTAGTTTTTTATTAGAAAAATTGATTAGAAAAAGCTAATTAAGGGCAGGAAGGTGTCTTGGACAGATGTAACTCAACTCTGACAGCACCCATCTGCGTGACCCCTGTCTTTCTGCAGAGGCCGACATTGCACACGGATGATGGGGATGATCCCTTTGGCAGCTGCCATCGGCCACCGCGTCCCTCAGCCCGCTGAACTACTGCAAGTTGAACCCACCCCAAGCACCTCGCAGCACCACTTACTATCACCTGCTGTCCTCTGCCCACTCGCCCCGTGCCACCCCTTGGGCAGAGCCAAGAGGCTCGCCAATGCTCCCTCGGGGGCGGCAGGGAAGAGCTCTCATTTCAGAGACGGTCGCTTCTTCCCGGGATGTCACTTCTGTGCAAGACACCAACCATTCGCCAGCAGGAGAAACGCTACCTCCACTTTACTCTCCCTTTTGAGAAGATAAATTCACCAAGCAGTTGGACTCAAAGCTCTTCGCCAGGACGGCTGCTCAGACCAAATGACATGCTCCTTTTGATGCTGGCAATGACATAGAGATGCTAATTCGACACACTGCCTGAAACAGCTTGTGCTTTGGGCTTTGCTCTCATCCTTACTTTGTCTTTCTGCTATTTATTATGGTTGGGGAGAAACGAAGTAACTCATGTGGAGCTGCTCTGGTTGGCACTAGCTGTATCTTTGTGGTGCTGGCTCTACCTGGCTACTGGAGCTCCCGGGAAGGTACCTCTCCTCCTAGATACCACTGCACCAAGGCACAACAGCATCTACAGGCAGGTCCTCAGTCAGTTGGTGAGGTGAGTAGATGAGGTGGAAAAAGCAAGGGTTCAAGTCCCCTCTTTAAAAGCAGCTGCCTGCTCAACTGCTCTTGTTTCATAAATCACATGCTGCAGGAGCTGATTTCTGTTTGCGGAACAACCGCCAGCTCCCTTGGCACGTGCGTGCGACGGTTATCCTGCAAAGAAAGAAATCTGCTGTCGCTTCCCAAGGGTCGCTAGAGATTCCACATCGTGACTGCAAGCCTGCAGTCCGAGCACTGTGCAATGTCACCGAAGGCAACGCAAAGCAGGTTCCCCTGTGGGCAGAGCGGAGACCCAGCTTTGCAGCAGAGGTGATGGCATTTTTGGGGGAAGCAGTGTCCCAAACGGGCCGAGCACCAGCAATGCGGATGACCCTTTCATGGAGACTGCCCTGAACAGAGGCTCAGTACGGTCCTGGAGCGGCTGGGACAAGCCCTTCCTATCTCGGATCAATTACAACTGTGGAAAGTTATTTTTAATTACACTAGAGATGCCAGAAAATAAACACTTGCAGCCATTGTGAGAGCATGATCATGGACTCTTGTTCAGTGAGGCTTTTCTCATTTTCTCCTTCGCACTGGTAACTGTTGGCAAATACTGAATTAGGGTCTAACGAAGAAAACTCCAGCCTTTCCTTGGTGCATGAGTGCCCAGCGGAGCTGACGCCCTGTTTCCCTGGGCTGACCCTTTCCTTATCCTCCAGCAGCCATCAGAGGAGCTAAGCCATCTGTCCAGGCTTGCAAACCGCCAGTGGTTCTGCAAAGAGCTTTCAGTCCAGCCGCCGTGGCACACAACGGATGGGATGACACCATGCAAGTCAGAAGGCAAGAAACCTGAGTGCACTAACGGGCAGCGGCTGGTGCTGCAGTAAAAGGCTGAGGTTGGCAGTGGAGGCTGCAAGCGGGTCGGCTCTTACCTGACCACCTGCAAAAATGACAGGGGTGGAGGCGGGCTTTGGGCGGTAGGGAATGGTGGCACCTTTTGGTGGGGACTAGGAAAAGGGACAAGGAGAGGGAGAGAGAACATTAGAACAGCTTTCCTGAAACGGCGGCAAAAAGAGCGTTAGAAAGCACCCGACGGAGTACGGCCCCCGGGGCCGCCACCAGCAACACCCAAACCAGGCAAACCGCGTTTCTGGACAGGAGGACACAGGGGAAGTCGGTGTTCAGTGGACAACAAGGACAACCTGGGGTACGGGAGATCCCCTGCCAAGGGATGGGCCACTAAATCACTTCCTGGACCTCCGCTGCCTCCCTCACCTCCGCTCTGCTCTCCGCAGACTGCATTGCCTGGTCTAGGCTCAAGCCTGATGCTGGAACACAGCATCCTCCTCAAAACACTCCAAGAAGACCCTCAAGCAGCAAGATAGGGAGACAACACCTACAGATCAGGCTTTTAATCCCTGGCTGCCAGGAGCCTCCTTGTGCAGTGGCTTTCTTTGCAGCCTGAGAGCTCTTGCACGGCAACAGCCCGCCCCAGGAGTCGTACTAGCCCTGCTGAGCACCAGGAGCTGTGGCATGGCATGGTGAGCGTCGGCATCAGAAAGAGTGAGCAGCCCATCTGAGTGACCTGGCACGATGCTCAAGCTCTTTGACCCCTCTCATCTTCCTCACCACCAGAACAAGGTCACCTTCAGGACTTGGTTTGGTCTATCACCATCCAAGCTGGGATGTGGATGGCCGTGCAGTGGAAGTTGCAAGGTGCTGTCATTATGGTCAAGACCTCCCATGCCCCGGTGGGACACGTGGGAGTGATCACTTTGTCCGGAGCGCTGAGCTCTGCAGGAGCCAGAGGCTGGAAACCCCGCGCAGATGTCAACACCAGAGTTTCCAGAGACCTTATCCTAGAGCTGCATGGTGGTAGCGGTCCTTGTGAGCAGCCAGACAGATGCCAGCAGCAGAGGCACTGACCCATACGCACTCCCAACCCTTCTCCTGCAGCAGCATGGCCCAGGGCAGCCCCACTCCGGCTGGGCAGGACATCTTGCTCCTCGCTGCTGTGGCCTGACCGGTCCCTTGGGTAGGTCTGAGCAGAAGCTGTAGTGATGCACATCAAGCTGTAGTGATGCATCCCACTGCATGGTGCACAGGATCTTCTCACTCAAGTTATCTCTGTTGGTTTTCTCTTGAACATAACTAACAGGCCATAGAAGAGATTATGGAGGTTTCCAGGGATCAAGAGAGATTTCAGATAAAAGCCTCCTGGCTCTACCCGAAGTGAAATGACCCAGTTACTGCTATGTAAGGATAGGCAATATAAATTACACTATCTCATGGAAAATTCTTCATTTTTTCTGTACATTCTTCTAGACTTCTACTTGTAGTCAAGTGGCATATCCGAATCTTTCTGCTAAGCACAGGTCTGCAGGAAAGCTGTACAATCAAAGCACAGCCCCTATAATCACAAACCTGCTTTTTCTTTTATTGCCTTACAAATCTTGAAGGGAACAAGCAAGGATTTCTGCAGTAAGATAATTTAAGACTGAAAGTTTATAAGGAGTATCTCTGTGAACTGTTAAAGCCAGGGGAATTCCCAGATTTCAGACTGCAAGAAAACTCATGGGTTTCTCTCTTTCCCGTTGCTGAGCCATACAGAGGAGCAGTACCCCTTGCTTTGCTTAGTGAGAACAGCAGCCACGAAAGACTTTATAATGCATCTGCAAGCATCATCTTGGGCCCATCTCTGCCACAGTCCAGAGCATAACCTGGAGTCACTGTGCAGCTAAAACTGCATTCCTCTGGCAGCACAGGGTACCTGCCTGAGCATCACTACCAGCAGTGGTGGGTAACATGGCTTATGGCAATTCCTCCTTAGCTGTGCTGCTGCCAAACTGAAGTTGCTTACATTTGGGTTTGCTTCACCTACAGCAAGCCTTGCTGCCCTCACCTGAAGCTCTTGCAGTGGCAAATCTGTTCCTCCCTGCCATGAAAGGGCAGCGGTGTGCAGGCTGTTGCAGCAAAGCAGAGGGGCCTGACATCGGTCCGTGCTTGCCTACCTCTGGGATGTGCAGGAGCGGAGAATATCACCATCTTGTGTCCCAAGGGGTTTCTTCCTGGAGTTTCTCCCATCTGAGGTGGTAGGTGTGGACGCGGGGTATATGGCTGTTGTCATCCCTGGCAATAAGCCATCGGTACAGCAGCATCTCTCCATGGCAGAGATCTTCAAGCTCCGCTTGCCAGCATTTCTCCCAGAAAACGGCACCCTGGCCACACATCCATTTACTCTATGGGCCCTGCTCTCCACCAGCCTTCCTCATCCTGCTGTGCCTCACCAGAGCCCAGCTTTGTGCTCCCAGTCCTGGCTCCCCCAGTGCAGGGGATGCACTGGCCTCCTCTTCCCAGCTGTGGTCCTCACGGGGCACCGTGAGCCCCAAGCAGAGGAGGCCAAGCCCTTGGTGGAGTGGTTGCAGCCCTCATCCCCTTCCCACGGTTCCCTGGGTGCTGCTGGGACACCAGACTACGGCTGTCCCAGCCCACCTGCCCTCCTCCGGCACCCCTCTCTCCTGAAACCACCCTGTGCTACGACACAAACCATCTCCTTTGGGGCACCCGACTAGGCAGGTTTCCAGTGTGGGGTTCCAGAAACAATGGACAATGGTGGGGAAAACACACTGGGTGGGTTTCAAACAGAGGTACCAGGAAATGAGAGTGGTCCGACAACGCGTGGTGAAGGGTATAAGAGACACGCTCCACAGCTCCCAGTGCTGTCGTGGTGCCAGCTGGGTTTTTTTCCTATGTACTTTACCCCCTTTGTTACAGACTGTACCTCCAGCATCACCACACAGATCTGTTTGACACACTGGATAATTGCGTCAGGTGTCCCCGAGATTGTCACCGCCCGCTCCGTGGAGTTGGGCAGCATGTCCCCCGCCACTTGAACCTGAGCACCTGTTGACTGGAGACAAAAAGACAGAGGAGGAGAAATCCCACAGCTGAATGCCTTTCCTTGCAGCCAGCTCCAGCTCCGACAACACGCGTCTCCCGAGAGCTGCACTACCCTGCAGGAGCTCAGATGTGGCACCCTGCTTGCATCCGAAGGAGCACGCCGGCAAGGTCCCACGGGATGCTGCTCCTACGTCAGCAGGACCATCCCGGGAAGCAACGTGATGCAAGGTGCTAGCAGCATAAGGATCCCCTTTTCCAAGGCAGCTCCCCTTTGGTTGCAAATCAGCTGCGAGGAGCTGTGATTACATGCAATAATGAAATCAAGTCTGACTTACCTCCCTGATTTCCTTGATCTTGGAGCCTCCTTTGCCAATCAGCGAGCCGCACTGACTAGCTGGCACGACCAGTCTCAGTGTCACCGGAGGTTTGCTGGTAGCAGTGCTGTTACTCATTGAGTTGGTTATGTCCTTGGGAAGGAAGAGTGCAACGCATCAGCCCTTGGTACCCGACCAGATGCCTGCCATCCAAGCCAACCCAAATGCCCTGGGCCAGAGAAGAGGGGTCAAGTCCTCCAGACTGTGGCTGGTCTCTGCAACTGCATCACTGTGCATCCCTGCACTTAATTAACTGTGAGACCTCTGAGACAGCTCACTGAAGCTCAGTTCTTGCCTAGTTAGAGATGTCTGGAAGGTTTTGTGCCGAGGTCGTGTACCAGTTAAGTAAATCCAGCCCGGTACACGTGGGTTGGAGGTACCCAGGCCCATCTGCACTGCTGGCCCCAGTAGTGAGCATGCCAGAGCTCTGCTTGGCTGGTGGGCCACTCAAGGGTCTGGATGCAGACCCTTTTACTCTGCCTCCCTGGGGTAAAGGGTTCACGTTGCTCACCTCTTCAAATTTGTAGGCGATCATGGCAAAAGCCTTGAAGATGGCATCGGTGGGGCCAGTGATGGTCACGATTCGCTCAGGGCAATTTCCCTCCGAGATGTTGATCCTTGCCCCGCTCTGGAAAGAGAAGGGCAGCCCTGGAATAGCCACAGCCAAGCAAGCCATGGGGATGCACTGGAGGTGCAGCCCTTCCTTTGGATCAGGTCCTGTTCCAGCCTGATCCCTCATCATCTTTTGTGGCAGCCTCTTGACATCCCATCTAACCTTAAAAACTCCCGTCCCTGCTCCCCGTGGCACTGTCTCACCCTGACCCTCAGAAAGGGTTTCCAAGCATCTGCTTTGAGTCTTTTACTGCAACGCAGATCCACACGATCAAGGCAAGACCAGCTCGTGGGATCATTGCTTGTAAAAAGAAGAGCGTTGCTTACTGATCTGATAACTCCTCGGTAGCTGCAGGCACAAAGACCTTGGACAAACTCAAGCATCTTACGAGTGACTTAATTTCAATGTTTCATTAAGAGCAAATTCTTGGCTCTGGAAAATTCCCATTAAAAGTGACAGGAGTTTGTTTGAGTATGGAGTGAGAAAACTGGACCAAAAGGCTCTGAGCACAGTCAACTTGTGTGTCCTGACCCTGGGAATTGCTGCACGTATCACACAGGGCAATGTGCAGCTCTGGCCGCTGTGCTGCACGCTGCCGGGCAAGAGAGCCCGCTGGCCCTTCCCGCTCCTCTTCCCACCTCCTACAAATCCTTCTACAGAGCAGGGTTGCTCACCTCCTCACGCATCTTCTTCACGGTCTCTCCTTTCTGAAACAAGAAGCACAAACACAGGCTATTACTAAAAATTCAAGACTTCCACCTTCAAAACAACCCTTCCAAATGCATCCCTCTAATACGTGGTAACACACAGCCCAACATCTGAGCAGCTCTGCAATGCCTGACCCTCCATCCCCACGCAATGGTCAGCTGAAAAGCTGATGATGCAAGCCATTGTAGCCTTGCTCTCTGTGTCTGTACAACACGACAGAAAAACAGCTACCAATGCACAACTGCAGCCTCCGCCTCCTTTTCCGTGTTGCCCATTAGGAGGAAAACTGTACGGAAAAAGTTCAGAAACTGGTCCGATGCTGAGAAAAGCTAGCACTTCAGAGTGGCTTCAAAGAGCAGTTTCTGATCTAGTATCTACAGAGAGACCTAATATCTTTACATCCAGATATAAAGCAGGTACAACTGTGAATCTTTCCAGGACTGGACAGGCTGATGGAAAAATAAGGTACAAGCATATAGGGGAAAGGTGTTCATGCTGCAAATCTTTGCCACCATAAACCTGCCTTTTAAAAACACCAGAAAACCAATCCTGTATAGCCAGAACTTTCCAAACCACCATGGCAAGCACCAGGGAGAAGAGCTCCTTGTGAAGCTTTTCTGCACAAGCTAAATGGTGTCCTGTGGCCTCAGAGACAAGTGCTGCAGAATTTAAATGGGTCTTCATGACATTTTTTTAATTTCTCTTAATGAAGCTATTTGATTAAAATAGGCAACATGATCATAAACACTTGTTTATCACCCCAGTGAGGCAGCTGGAAATGGCACTAGGAAAGTTTGGTGGTTGGTGGTGGGTTTTTTAGGGGAACGGTCTTTGATCCCTCTGTGTCTCTCTCGTAATTTCTGTCTCACAAATGCAACAACAAGCTCACGCGTGCCAAACATTTAAGGACATCACGGGGAAGAAGTGACTGGCAACTACCACACCACAGGCAGCAAACGGTGCAGGCAATAGCATTAAATACACATTTAAAAGACATCCGTACCTTTCCAATGATGCTTCCGACTTCCTACAAAAAAAAAAAAAAAAAAGCCAAACACAAAGGAATTGACATTACAGAACGTGAAGACCATCCAGCCCAGCTCCATAATGAAGCAAAGACCTGGTGCACACTGTCCCCAGCAGAAGGACAGGTTGCCGGGCGCAGGCATGAGAGGGACCAGGAGCACCGTGCCACCCTCCCCATCAGTAGGAGGACATCGGCTCCCAGGAGCCTGGGGCTGGGGATGTGGCGTGTGGGGCTGGCTGGACCCAGGCACAGATGGAGTGGAGGCGGGAGAGGGAGCTGGGAGGAAACCCCCTCACCGGGAGTCCCTTACCTTGCCGTGCATCAGCAGCCGGATGGTGAGGGTGACATTCAGGCCGCCTTCGGAGACCTTCGACTCCATTTCCTACCAGGGGATGGGAGACGTGCGTTAGCTGGGAGGGCAGCCCCGGCGCAGAAGGAGACAGCACCACGGCCGTATCACCTGGGCACAGAGAGGGGAAAGGTTTTCTTTCAAAACAGGCAGGTTCTTCGATGTCAGATGGACCCTGCAGAGCAGCAGGGCATAGGAAAGTCACGGCTGGAGGAGCTGCAGTGAGATGTCATGGGCTGAGCACCTTAGCGGGTACAGATTGGGCTGGCTGCTCACCGCAGGGACCGCATTGGGTGCAAGCCCGGGAACAGCCCATAGCTCTGCGCTGGCTTTGCCACCAGCTTTATGCAAAAGCCATTGCAGGAGCAAAGGCTCAAGTGTCCGAGGTGGCACAGCCAGATGGCTAGCCCTCGGTTGCCATGAGCCGAAAAGCAGCTGTGCCTAGCTGAGCGCATGGACACAGAGGCAGGGAGTCGGCAGAGCAGCTGAAAGACCGATGGCTGAACTGGGACTTTAAAAGACCTAGGGCACTTATCTAGCAAATCAAAATTCACCATTTCAAGTGTGAATGGGCACTCAGAAAATCAAAAGGCAGTTTTTCAGTAACCAGGCAATATCTATCTGACCCCAGGACACAGAGCAGGAAGGATGGAGCTGGTATCCCAAGTGCCACACATCTGTGTTTTTATCCCAACATGTGAGCACCCTAGCTGGGCACTGCATCTCAGGACCACGCCATCTCTCTTTGCATGTATCTAATGAAACCTCTGTCAGTTTTCCCAGTGCTGTCATGTTCCTTTCCCTTCCCGTTCTCTCTCTTTCCTCCTCTGCCCTCTAGAGGGAAAAACACCACTGATGTTTTGAAGGCAGAAGGGGAAAAAAAAAAAAATCACAGAATGGCAACAAATCCTTCTTTTTTCTTTCCTGACTCCTCCTTAGTAGCATCTCTGCGTGAGGACCCGACCTATGAAATGTCTTTGCAGACTACTGTATGGGGGGGACCGGTCCTGCCTCAGAGGGAGGTGCCAGCATCCTTCTACATGTAATGCCAAGAGATTTGTAGCAATTCTCCATCATGTTATTTAATACCTCAGTATACATCAGATGGGAGATTTTTGATCCTGGTCCCGAGCATCTGGCATTTTCCTTTGCTCAGACGGGGACTTATGTGACCAAAAAATGGGAGGTAAACCAGTTCTGAAGTATTACTTTAATGCAAAGAGGCAGTCGGGATGAAAAAACACGCAGCAATGCACAAATCATGGCTGGCGATGGGTTTGATGCAAAACCTCTTCCAAGAGGCTGTTATGAAACCCAAAATGGATAAAACCTGCATGGTTAGCAAGGAGATGGTGTTCCCACCGAGCTAACAGGGGACCAGCTCACTGGGAGTGAGGTTGCTTATAACCTACTTGCAAATGCTGATCTTGAGGCCGCTGGATGTTACAAGTGAAAAAAAGTAAAATCCTCATAAGAAGGATAAGAAATGAAATGTGTTAAAGATGTCAAGTCAAAAGGCACTGTTAAGGGTGGGGAGGAGGAGAATATTTCCGAGGAAGAAGGTGACAACATTAAGGACCAGAGTAATGGGAATGGCCTGAGGCTCGATAGCACAATGATAGCTCGATAGCGCTGAGCCTATTGCAGGTGAACAATAACGGAAAATTAATAACTGGTTGTGTTGGTTAACGCCAGGCTGACTCCTGTGCATGGCAGGCAGGCATGAAAAGGTTGAAGAGGCTGATTTGTGGAGGTCAGTGTTGCTAGTGCTCCTGATGTACCAGAAGACAAAGTGCCTGCACTGAAGACGGCCCTGTGTCGCACAGGGGGATAGTCATCCCCAGGGATGTCCTGCCCCAGGAGCAATCTAGCCCTGCCATGGTGGAAGAAACAAAGCCACGACGCCACTGCCGCCACCCACGAGACTGGTGCACACCAACAGAGGGGTGCAGCTCCCCTTCCTGGCTGATGAGCATCCTCTGACAGCACAGCCAGAGGAAGGTAGAGGCTGTTCACAGCTGATGGTCAAGGCGTACCCACAATCAGTGTCTTTCATGATTTGCAAAGGCAGTATTCACAAAGCCATCCTGCCCTGCACACCACCCCAAGGGCTTTCTTTTGCAACCGCAGTGCCCCGGGCAGCTACAGCCCAGGGTGCCAGCCCCACGGCTGGGAGCTGGCAGGCGAGGGTGGAGCAGTCTGGGCTTTGCCACCAGGATGATGGACTTCAAACCCAGCCGGGTGGCTACGGTGCTCTAAACCCAGGCACATCCCTGCCGCAGTGGGAGAGCTGGCAGCCCCAATGAGGTGGGTCACGACTTGCCCGCTAAGGACTGACCGCATTCGCCGTTTTGCTTTCACCAAATGTCCTACAGCGGCAGCACTTATTGTGGGGGTGTCTGCCATCCCTTCCTCCCCATCCCTCACAGGAGGAACCCTGCATCAGGCCGTTATGTAAATGTTTCCAATTGATTGAAAAAGTGGGTCATGTGTTAGCCAAATGCTCCTGGCTTTAAGATTTATCAGCATTATTAAATTAAACACGCTTCATGCTCCAGTGAGCGGGAAAGCTACATTGGCCTTTTCTTAATCATACTAGTGAAAGGTAAGTCTTTTATATGGGGGTTCATAAGCTCAATGGAAATGATGGGAACAATGGAGCTGAGGCATTTACCCTGGGCGTGTGCCTCCCCCCACAGCCCTCATTCTTCACAGACAAAGGGCTGGGAAAAATTATCCCCCAAACGCCATTTTGAGCATTTCAGAGCATTCCCTGCCTGGAGAGAGACCCATCTCGGACCCTTCCTCTTCACCATCGTATTCTGCCTAGTTCACAGCAGCTTTGAAATGGCTTCTTTGTCCATGTACTTGAAAGCCCTGAGGACACCATTACATCCAGTCCAATGGATAGAGTAGATCCAGAGCCCAACTCCAACCCAGTGCAAAGCAGGCGCAGCCCCGCAGAGGTCAAAGACACAGCATTAGGAGACACAAGTGTTGAGTTTGGCCCCAAAATGGAAGTTGCACAGCGAGTCAAGTGAGGCTCTGCCGAGCATCATGCCTGGGCAACTGCAGGCAGAGGACCGGAGCAGCATCCTCCCACGCACAGCCGTCGTGGGGAGCAGACCAATGTCTTTGCATCTTTCCAAAGGATGATCCCACTGCAGAATAAATAGGCCTTTCAAATGCAGCTGTGTTTTGGGAGAGTGCTCGGAGGAGGCATCATCAGTACTCAGAGCAATCCGATTCCTCCTTCTCCCTTGGTTTTGAGATTAAATATAATCCTGGGAAATTTCCTTAATCTATCACTAATTCCTTATGTCTGAAAAAGCAGCTCAGGCACCAGTGACCAAGGAGGAGGAGAAGAGGAAAGAGAATGGAAACCTAGAAGAGCAGAAAAACTTCTCTTCCCCATGTGCAAACATACACACTCTGATTTTTCTCCTTTCCAGTTTTTTAGAGGTTGGAGTGATTACCTAAGCTGGCACTCTTGTGTTTATGCTTGCTGACACCTCACAAATACTGACACTTTCCTAAAATTTCAGCAAAACCTTCTAATTAGGGGAATTCTGAACATCTTGTATTAAATTCATTTAATACCATGATCATCTCCCAGACGGGAGATGGCATGCGAAGTAGAATTGTAGGAGGCAGACCAAGCTCTGGGCTGGACTTTGTTCTCCAGCCTGGTTTCCAAATGGAAGCTGGAAAAGCAGATGCTGGGATCCCCACAGCCCCCTCCGGACGGGCGATAGCAGGGGGCTCGGCTGAGCTCGGGCAGAGCCAGTGTCCCTACATGGGGCTAATAGACATAGCTGGCACTGTGCTTGCTGAAGCCAGCCCTCCTCCTCCTCCTCTTCCTTCTCTTATGCATCCAGTTGGACTCCCCAGGCCTGTTAGCCACGCCTGAGCAAGTCCTGCGGCGCAGCTCCAGCAAATGCTGCCTACGTCTCCTCTGCAAATGCCCAGCGGAGAGCCAAGGCATCTGCTGCCGGTACTGGGGGGCAGC